AATATTAGATCAGGACAGAAAGATGCATCACATACCAATTAATGGAATTGTGGAAAAGGCATGCAACTTAAGACTGCAGCAGCAACACATCCACTGTAGTTAAATGGCCAAAGTGTATTCCATGTCAGTCTCAAGAACAAAATAGTTATTCTAATATTATTCAAGTGGTAACTCCTCAAATGCTTGTTGAGATATTTGATCGATAGAGAAATTTTAAAAAGCATTTGTACACCGTTAAATATTTTGAATAATATTTAATGTACTTAAATGGAGGTAAATTCTTCCTTTGTATAATGTGCACAATAGTTTTATTATCAGACTCCACTTGCATTTACACTAATGTCAGTTCTATCATTTTTGCTTCTTGTAACCCTATAAGATTTGCATTTGCTACACAGTAGAGATTGTGTTAGAAAATCTGCAACCACTCAACATAGAATCATTAATATCATTTATAGTAATAAAAATCAAACCACCCCGTATTCATTTTTTCACAATTGATTTTAAACCATCAATATTACGACATATTTCAAAATTGAATCAGAATCTTAGTCCAATTGAATTGACCGATAAAATTTATAAAATTGGGCTCACATCATTTATGAAATTGTAGCATTAAAATTGAGAGAACATTGCTACCAAGATATTTGGGCTAATTTAATTAAGTTAAAGGTTTAAAATAATAAACTCGACTGAGTTAATATTTTTAAATTAAAATCAATCGAAACCGATTTAGGTCGAATCGATTTTGAATACATTCAGTTCGATTTTAGCACCCTCTATATAATATTATATATATATATATATATATGTTTTTTCACCTAAATATGAATTTATTTATAAATGAAATCCATCGTGTAAATCATAGTCATGCATGTCAGACGGATTGACAAATTATCAGTAGGCCTTTGATTCTCTTTGGATAAGGGCTTCACGTTGAAACCAAACCCTTTCTTTTCCAAATCCCTTCTTTCCCAAGTGATCGGGTGTGAATGATCTGAACGGGGATCGATATTATGTTTGGGCGTGGCAACCCAAGGATGAAGAACAGGATATTGACATGACAGGAGAAGGACAAATACCTCTCGAAATGACAGGAGGAGGACAAATGCCTCGGACTTGACCTTGAAACCAAACCTCTTCTTTCCCAAACCCCTTCTTTGCCAAGTGATCGGGTATAGACAATCTGAATAGCGATCGAACTGTTCGACATGGTAAACCAATAATTAAAATGGATGGGAATAGGATATTGACATGAGAGGAGGGCAAATGCTACTTTTGTTTCTTCATTTGCTGGATTAAGCTTGTCTGATTCATACGACATGTTCATAGGAATTAATTAAAGATACGCTATGAAAAGATATGGGTTCATAGGGATGCAAATTGCTTCATCATCTGTGAGTGTGAATGTGAAGCTTCCTTCTCCACTAGTAGAGAAGGACCAGAAGATAATAACTCCATCTGTGAGAGTGAATGTGAATCTTCCTTCTCAACTAGTCTTCGACTGTCACGATAATAGGGATGTGAGCCGTTCTACAGTTGGATATGGGAATCAAACGTGCCCGAGACGCTGCAGCTACGGACTTCGCCCTATCTTCTTCCAATCACCGGTGACCCCACGCAGGTTATGGGCCACAACAACGCTTATCTACTTCCCCTCATACCTTACTTGCCCTGCCACTTCCGGCTATATATACGTGCCCTTAGCCCTCACACTTCTCCCATCCCCATCCCGTTCCATCCTTTGCTCCTTCGACAGAAGAAAGCAAGGAAGAGATGAGGATCTATTTTGGTCCTTCGATGTTTCTGCTTCTGTTTCTTGTCGTTCCGAACTTGGCTCAGTCCCAGATACTCTTCCAGGTAGAGATAAACAGATCCATTTATCGCCTTTGTCCTTGATCGTGTTTACAGTAAGAGAAACGAATACGTTGCAGGGCTTCAACTGGGAGTCATGGAGGCAGCAAGGCGGCTGGTATAACTTCTTGAAAGACAAAGTCTCTGATATAGCCAACGCTGGAGTCACCCACGTCTGGCTGCCTCCGCCCTCGCACTCTGTCGGCGTTCAAGGTCGTACAGTGATTCGTATTTGCCATCGTGATCACTATCACATGTTGACCGAGTCGACTTTGGTCTAAATTATTGCGAGTTTT